TCTGTTTCTGTTTAAAATAGTATACAATTATTTGAAAAATAATAATTTAAAAAACGTTACCTCCCTTCAAAACTGAACGTATGACGTATGTCTTTGTTTTTTTTTTACAAACAGTTGCTATGCTTAGATAAGAAATTACGGTATATGAACATATTTAACAACTATAATGGCTGTTTCCGAAGGGATTAAAGTTTTTTTTTGTTAGCCTCCAGGGTCGGTCTACGACGTCACATACTATTAAGGGGATCGTTCGTCAATTTATTTATATATATATATATCTCATATAAGGAGAATTTCACTCAAGATCATCTTTTAGCCCTCGTCGAGGGCTTTAAGTCTGACCAACAGTTTTTCCATACGGCCTAGTCATCTATAGTAGTGTATGCAAAAAATTAGCCAGATATACTGAGCTTAAGTACCCTAAAGTCTGCGTTGAAATGACCCTCTGTTTTTCCCATAAAATACAAAGATTATATAGGGAAATACAACTGGTCAGTTTTGACCGCTTTACAAAGTTTTCCCAGATATGCCGAGTTTTTTGTGACACCCCTAGGTGTTCTTCTACCACCTCACAAAATATCAAGGGGGGTCGTTGGAGGAAAATTTTTTTCGTAATAGAGCTCATATAAAGAGAATTTCACTCGCGGTCACTTTTTAGCCCTCGTCGAGGGCTTTGAGTGTAACCGACAGTTTTCCCTAAAGGTCAAGCCATTGACCTAGGAGCATGCAAAGAATTAGCCAGATATACTGAGTTTAAGTACCCTAAAGTCTGCGTTGAAATGACCCTCTGTTTTCCCCATAAAATACAAAGATTATATAGGGAAATACAACTGGTCAGTTTTGACCGCTTTACGAAGTTTTCCCAGATATGCCGAGTTTTTTGTGACACCCCTAGGTGTTCTTCTACCACCTCACAAAATATCAAGGGGGGTCGTTGGAGGAAAATTTTTTTCGTAATAAAGCTCATATAAAGAGAATTTCACTCGCGGTCACTTTTTAGCCCTCGTCGAGGGCTTTGAGTGTAACCGACAGTTTTCCCTAAAGGTCAAGCCATTGACCTAGGAGCATGCAAAAAATTAGCCAGATATACTGAGCTTAAGTACCCTAAAGTCTGCGTTGAAATGACCCTCTGTTTTTCCCATAAAATACAAAGATTATATAGGGAAATACAACTGGTCAGTTTTGACCGCTTTACGAAGTTTTCCCAGATATGCCGAGTTTTTTGTGACACACCTAGGTGTTCTTCTACCACCTCACAAAATATCAAGGGGGGTCGTTGGAGGAAAATTTTTTTCGTAATAAAGCTCATATAAAGAGAATTTCACTCGCGGTCACTTTTTAGCCCTCGTCGAGGGCTTTGAGTGTAACCGACAGTTTTCCCTAAAGGTCAAGCCATTGACCTAGGAGCATGCAAAAAATTAGCCAGATATACTGAGCTTAAGTACCCTAAAGTCTGCGTTGAAATGACCCTCTGTTTTTCCCATAAAATACAAAGATTATATAGGGAAATACAACTGGTCAGTTTTGACCGCTTTACGAAGTTTTCCCAGATATGCCGAGTTTTTTGTGACACCCCAATGTGTTCACCTACCACCTCACAATATTTCAAGGGGGGTCGTCGGAGGAATTTTTTTTTTCGTAATAGAGCTCATATAAAGAGAATTTCACTCGCGGTCACTTTTTAGCCCTCGTCGAGGGCTTTGAGTGTAACCGACAGTTTTCCCTAAAGGTCAAGCCATTGACCTAGGAGCATGCAAAAAATTAGCCAGATATACTGAGTTTAAGTACCCTAAAGCCTGCGTTGAAATGACCCTCTGTTTTTCCCATAAAATACAAAGATTATATAAGGAAATACGACTGGTCAGTTTTGACCCATTTCCCGATTTTTCCTAGATATGCCGAGTTTTTTGTGACACCCCAAGGCATTCTCCTACCACCTCAGGAAATATCAAGGGGGGGGTCGTCGGAGGAAATTTTTTTTCGTAATATAGCCCATTTAAGGCGCCGGTCAGTCGTGGTCAGTTTTGACCCCCTCTCCGTATATTTTTCGGCCAACCGTCACCGGCCCTCGTGTTCTATCGCCCGAAGGCACCATCGTGCCAAATTTGACGCGCCTGCGGCGCCGGGAAGTGCCCTATCGGGCACTTGACCACTTTGCTTTATATATATAGATATATATATATATATATATATATATATATATATATATATATATATATATATATATATATATACATATATATATATATATATATATATATATATATATATATATATATATATATATATATATATATATATATATATATATATGCCTATATATCCCCTTGGTGAAAAAAAGTAAAAATAACATCATATTTTGACAAACGGGCGGTAGGTGTAAAGAGTTTAGAGAAGACCCATGTTGCTGTATTTCACATGTTCAGTATAAAGACAACAATTGTAAGTACATTTTGTTTGTCGATTCCTTCAAACTCTTCTGTATCTTCATTATTATTTATTCCCAGCGAAGATGATGAAGACGTAGGCTATTGCTTGGATGAGATTCTCCATGATATACCTAAATCAAAATATGACATTGAAGAGGAGGTCTATGACGAAGTAAGAGATTAATGCTGTATTAACATCTTATATGCCTAGTTATAGTTGTACATGTTAAACAGTAATACGACAATTCATTTACCAGATAACTTTGGAATTCATTAAGTGGAAGTTCGATTACTGGTAAATGCATATGAAGTAATTATTGCAATTCAAAGCACAGAAATGTGGATACTTACTTTTAAGTTATATTTGGTCTTGGGATGAGAAAACAAAAGTCTATGTAACTAAACAACAAGTGTAAGTTGATACCTTAAGGAAGTGTAACGGTATACAGGGGGTTTAACGGTTACTGAATTTGAACCTTATTCCAGGGTGTAGCAATATACCGGTGTGTATCGGTATACATGATGTAACGTGTTATTTGGTGTAACAATAAAAAGGGTGAAACAATATACAGTAGCTTAACAATATACCCGGATGTAACAATATACCGTGGTGTAACATGTTATTTGGTTTGACAATAAAAAGGGTGAAACAATATACCGTAGCGTAGCAATATACCCGGATGTAACAATATACCGTCGTGTAACAATATACGGTGGTGTAACAAAATACCGGGGTGTAACAATATACCTGGATGTAAAAAATATGCCACGATGTAACAAAAGACCCGGGTGTAACCGTATGCATATACTTTCCTGTTCCAGGATTTCACGGAAACATGGGAGTCTGAAGGACAGGAGTCGGTCTTTGATGCTGTAGACAAACTGTTTAAAGAATTTTTTCTGGACCAGCCAGCGTAAGTGGGGTTTAGTTGGGTCACAGATCTGAAGTGTAGGTCAAAAGTGTAGTAGTAGACGGGCTATAAGCAACCAGTTTAGCTTCAGATGGGTTGTATAAGCTACCTGTTGGGTCACAGGCAGTAGTAGACGGGTTATAATCAACCAGTTTAGCTTCAGATGGGTTGTGTAAGCTACCTGTTGGGTCACAGGCAGTAGTAGACGGGTTATAATCAACCAGTTTAGCTTCAGATGGGTTGTGTAAGCTACCTGTTGGGTCACAGGCAGTAGTAGACGGGTTGTAAGCAGCCAGTTTAGCTTCAGAGGGGTTGTGTAAGCTACCAGTTTAGTAAAAGATGTGATGCGTAAGATACTAGTTTAGTCATAGTTTAGTCATAGACACGTTGTGTTAACCAGTTTTGTTATAGACGCGTTGTATAAGCAACCAATAAATTTAGTAAAACACAAATTATTCATCTGTGTTTTGTACTTATAAAATGCCCTATAGTAAGTAATTCTATAAAACAGCACCCCAACTTATCATAGTTTTACCCCGCTTCTGTTGAATTTTAGAGCAACACGTAAGGTGATAGGACACCAGGTGAACGACATGGTTTTACAATGTTCATTTGCAGGGAAAAAATGTCTACCAGAGTAAGTACAGTTTATTTACTTAACATTCAATTGTTTGAATACGTCATTAGAAACAATAAACGGTGAATAATATAAAATAATAAATAATTACAAAGACTGACCAGAGTACTCTTTTTACAATGTTCACGCTTTATGATATCTACTAGAATTGTAGCGTTCACCCAATTCGGATATGAGGGCATAAAGGCACATGTATTTGAGTTCAACTGTTTCATCGTATGAAAGGACTGTAATGAGTTCTAAGCTCAGTTGCCTCTACTTCCCATAACGTTAGTCAAATTGACTCGAACTTAAGACTTTCGGATAAAGGGACGCGCACTCAACGTCATCTGACCATACCACCCCATACTACACATTTTCAGATTTGTAGTAATATTTTCATTGAATTAAAACAGTATTGAGTAGTTACACGTTGTCAACAAAAACACACTTTCTTTCTAAACAAGTAATTTTACCCATGTGTTCTCTGAGTCTTACGGGAACTGCTACACACTACAGTACGACAAATTTTTTGTACGGAAAAGTGGACCATCTGGTGGTATGTATTTAATGCATTAATATTCGATATGTATTTATATAAAGACAAATAATAATTAATTTTCTGATACTTGTCTTAACATGAAATAAGTATGTAACTATTAAAACTGTTGACTAATTAGATGCAGTATCAGAATTATAGTAGACTAATTTGTACTCGTGTTATGTAGAATAGTATACATAGATCAAAGTATTGTTTAATGTAGTAAAGTTTATTTCATTTTGAAAATATCAATGATACCGTGTGTAGCTGATAAATAAGTTGAAATAAGAATAATTGTCAAAAGCTAACTTTATTCAAAGTCCCGTCCTTACTATGAACTTTCGTGTACCGCACAGGTCTAGAGCTAACCCACCCTCTTACTATAAACTTTCTTGTACCGCACAGGTCTAGAGCTAACCCACCCTCTTACTATAAACTTTATTGTACCGTACAGGTCTAGAGCTAACCCACCCTCTTACTATAAACGTTCTTGTACCGTGCAGGTCTAGAGCTAACCCTTTTCATAGAGACAGACGAGTACCTACCCGGCATCACTCACAACAAGGGGGTCAGGGTCGTCATCCACGAGCAAGGTACCGTGCCGTTTCCAGACGAGGAGGGGCTGAGTGTCATGCCAGGCACCAATACATATATCGGCATTAAGCAGGTAACTGTTACATCAGAAAACTATCAAAATAGCTTGTTAGAATAGCACCAACACATATATCGGCATTAAGCAGGTAACTGTTACATCAGAAAGCCGTCAAAATAGCTTGTTAGAATAGCACCAACACATATATCGGCATTATTAGCAGGTAACTGTTACATCAGATAACCCTCAAACTAGCTTGTTGGAATAGTGTTTAAGTGTGCTTAAGTATATGTTATACATGTTTATATTTTTCTTGTGTCAATAGATCAATGTAGAGCGGCTGTCGTCACCTTGGGGCAAGTGTACGGTAGATGACTACAGTCAGAAATACAACAGGAGTTACACGAGAAACGTAAGCTGATAAAACAGTACCTGACATTACCGTAGCAATACGTTATCTCATAAAGAATAGTGTACTTACGTAAAGAGAACAGTATATTGTAGAGTGTTGACGTTGTGTGTTTTAATTTTTCAGACGTGTCAGGGTATCTGTGAACAAAATTACATTCGAAAAGTGTGCCAGTGTCTTGATGAATCGAAACAAGAAATCAATAAAATTATGGGCAACGCAGAAAATTTAACCAGTTGTGAGAATGCCACACGTAAGTATAACATAGATTGAGATGAAGTGTTTTGACGTTTGGCTTAGATAATGTCTGTTATATCTTTCCTAAATATTCTCATAATCTGTATGCATTTGTTAGTTTTTGCTAACACATGAACAAAACAGCTAGCCATGTTATTATTTTAAAGTTTCCATTAAATGTGTTTGAATGCATAGTTTATTAAATGTATTTTTATGATGAAGGATACACTAATGTCTTTTGTTATTATTATTATTATTATTATTATTATTAGTTTTTAACGATAAATATATTCAGTTAAGTTCAAACAGCTTTCATTTCCACGCAGAACTGAAATGCCTTACGAAAGTGACTTTTAACCCAGAAACGATTCAATGTGACTGCAGCAATCCTTGCAAGTAGGCTATGTGTTTTCTAATAAAGTGCTACGTGTTTCATTTTAATACTTTTACTATCTTTGAAAAAAACATCTTATTAAATTAATATTGTTAAACTTACTATTCCTTGATTACAACGTACAAGTAATTATATTTTCAAAGGCAAAATCAATATAATAAAAAATGTGTTATTTTGTGCATACATACTTCACTTTGCTGTGTTCCTTGAATTAGAGAAACAGTGTTTGAAAAGGACTTGTCTTCAACCGAATGGCCAAGTGTAGATTTAGCTGTAAGTGGTTATATTTTTTTTTAATCTTAAGCTAAAAAAAAGTACCTGAGTTTCTTCCAGGCATCTCCTCGGGGGGGGGGGGGAGGGGGGGGGGCTCCGTCACCCCCGAAGAAAGTCTACCGCCCCCCCCCCCTCCCCGAACGAAATGAAATTTATATAGAAAATATATACTTTTAAGTGTCCGCCCCCCCCAAAGAAAGTCTACTGCCCCCCAAAAAATTTCAAGTGCCCCCCGGAGAAAAAAGTCTGGAAGAAACACTGGTACCTATACTTTTATAAATATAATTGTTTGAAGTTAAGAATAATCGCATATTGTTTTCGTATTTTCAGCAAATCTTTGCTGTCTCAATCTGCAAATCGAACCCAAACATGAGTCTGTCATTACTCAACAAACAAGTGCCCAAACAATTAACGTAATTTTTTAATTCCTTTCAATCAATACATTTAAATATCAAGTGTATGTTGTATTTACCTGTTTATGTTGCGGTACTTTCCGTTAGCTACACATAACAACTATATGTTTTATTCACTTGCTCAAAGTACATCGTTTTAAACACCACACATTCATGTTGGTTAAATTAACCACAGTATCCAAACAAATAAATATTACTAAGTTAATACCATCTTTGAGTGTTTTCTTTAATTGTTCAACATTTTAAAATCTATATCTAAATCGCCATTGGTTTGGTTTTTTAGACCTGTTTTTAATTTAGTTTTGCCATGTTTGATAAAAAAAAACCCACCGGAATCAAAATGTTATTTCGTTTTCATTTTGGGAACTTTCTTTAGGTTTTTTTCTTTCATTTATGAATTTAAATAACAATAATCGGTTTTTAAAAACATGTATCTATGAATACTAATATTATTGTTATTGATTTTAAAAATGTTATATATAATTTGTTATTAATATTATTAATAATAAATATATAATTATGTATTTTCTTTCAGACAAGATTTCGTGAAATTGAATATATTTTATCAAGACCTAAATTATGAACTGCTTACGGAAAATCCGGATTATGAGGTAATTATGGATTTCCTATTTTTCAATTAGCTCATTTCTTTTTCTTATTTTAATGTGTCCCAAATCATATACAAATCTATCACAACAAAAGTCGCTGTTTTCATGTGGTTCCCCATTCTATAAAAAATAAAGTATGTTTAAAATATGTTGAATCGTATTTCTATATTGTGGTACCCTATTATATCAAACATAAAGTGTGTTTAAAATATGCTGAATCGTATTTCTATATTGTAGTACCCTATTATATCAAATATAAAGTGTGTTTAAAATAAGTAGAATTGTAATTTTATGGTATGTTCCAGCTCTCACAGTTGATGTCTGATATAGGTGGCACCATCGGCCTGTGGATCGGCCTTTCTGTGCTCGGCATCTTTGAAGTCGTCCATTTGATCACCCGGCTCTTGGTGTTTTTGTGTACAGGCAGATGTGCTCAGCCAGACACTAATTAGTTGTTTAATGATGTCCAGTCTGTTTACAATGTTCAGGCAACTTTATACATTTGGGCTACTGTAATAATTAGACCCCGAATGGTATTTTTAAATGGACAAGATGTTTTACGGATCTTTTTAAAAACTTTAAAGTCGAGTGGACGAACAAAAAAATGCTACAATATATGTAATTACATGTTTACAACTTATATTTTGACATTTGTAACAATTATATTATTGTGGTTTTATGCAGCTTCTTTTAATATATATATATATATATATATATATATATATATATATATATATATATATATATATATATATATATATATATATATATATATATGTAAATTGTAATTTTATTTAAACTCTATACATACATATTTTTCGACACCGGTTCAATTGGTTTTAATAAAGCACTTTTTTAAAACGATGATATTGCATTTTTTTTTTCTCATTTTTTTTTTGGATTTCATAAAACATTTTTTTTCTCACATTTACTTTGGCAATGTAAATATTATTGAAAGCTAAAATAAGCTCACCTACTGAGAGTAGCAGGGGCGTGTCAGACTATATTGCATAGCTCTTTTGAAGTTCAGACCTAAAAAAGAAAAGAGAATCATACATTATTAAGGCGGAATGAAATTTTGTTTATAGAGTGGGTGTGGGAGTGAGTGTAGGGCGAAACAAAACAAGGATTGTTTTAAAAAATATTTTATATGTAAAACAAGAAGCTGATTTTGTGGTTTTATTACTCTTGTATTATGTAATACTCTTGTATTATTATCGACTGCTAGCTGATTAAAAAAGCGCTAATATTTAATACGAGCTGCCCCGCGACGTAGAATACGCCGTTATCTAGTTGTTTTATTTTCTACTATCAACAATTCATAATTTGTGAATTCGACACTACCACACCCCCCCCCCCCAATGTTCCCTCTAAGGACCAAGAGTGTGTGTGCAAAAAATATGTTGTGTGCGCGGTGCTAAAAATGACTTGGGCAAGTTAATATGTATTTTTAGTCTTGCAATTAAGCATAATAATGAAGGCATGCATTTTGATAAATTAATAGTATAATGTGTGTGACTTATGAAACGTATGCAATTAAATGGAGATACGAATACCATCAAAATAAATAAAAAAACTAATAAAAACTTTCAGTTATACTTAGACAACAAGTTATATGGTCGACTTACTACACAGTCATATGGTAATAATGCTAATACCATAACGGTAATACAAACGCAATAGTTTAACATATGCAACATTTAATAAAGCTGACTTAAAAACAAATATTAGCTAACCTTTCAGGGGCATTTATTGCAATTTCTCGCGTCTAGCCTTGCATTGCTTCCACACCTTATAGGCTTTGTTTAAATCCACATCCTCTCCAGCATTTAGATATAATTTAGTTCTCCAAATGTGTGGCTTCAAGTCTATTTCGTGCTTGCACTTTTATTATGTTAATAAGGCTAAAACCTTGTTCGTAATCAGCACTGCATGCTTGGAAGGTACAATAATGTCACTTTGCCAGTGAGCTAAATTTTGTTATTTGTTTTGACAAATCTTGCATATTCAGACATATAATTTACAGAAACAGATTTGAGTTTTTAACTTTATCGAAATTTGAAGTCATTGTATTGGATGGTAATTAACTGATCATTTGTTGTACGTAACCCGTCTTTGTACTTTACGCACAGTTCTTTGATATCTTTGACGCCGAACTCAAATGCATATTTTTAAAAACCTGTAGCATAAAAAAAGATGACAAAAACTGCAGTTCATCTCCTGGAAACCTAACATTTAAATGTTCGCAGACTGATTGTATGTACTGTGTGGTTTGCCTTGTGTCGATTCTTTCGTTTAACTCACACTTTTCTTGGCTTTAATGTTCAGTGTAGTGCTGTTACGCCAGTCTCCAGAGCTAAGGCATCACTTACAGTAAGCTGAGTTATTCCAATAAAAACGGTTTTGTAGAATACAGAATTGACTGGACGAAATTTAAAATAAAGGATTAGCATTTTATGTACTGTTATGCCATCAACTATAAGCGTGTGGAATGATGCTGCTGGAAGTTCTGTCAGTATGTTCTTTACAACTTCGTTAATTACTTGAACAAACTCAAAGGCGTATTTCTTACTTCGCCAACTGTCTGGTATTGAAACATACTTCCCCATGTGGTTATGAATCAGTTGTACCGACCGCATCGAGGCGTTCATCTTAATGATAAGAAGAACATTATCCGTTAGGATTAGAACTATAATAGATTGACGACAGAAGCCTGTGGTTGTATATAACACGTTTAATTGGGTCTAACTACCTCTTGATGGTAACACACAGAGAGGACGGAAGGAAGTACACAAGGGACATCACTCAAGATAACAATATTATAAATATAACTAATACAGAAGAGTGAGTTCCCTTGACCTCACAATTATTTCAATCTATTACATCCCTTTACCCTTAGAACACAATAACACATCTCTCAATAGAACAATTGATAGTATCCTAAAATCACCAATTATATTGTAACATGAACATTATGGTAGATTACATCCTTACAAACAATGCACAATATGCCACAACATAATCAAGATACAAAACAATGATGTCAAAGTCCTTTTGACCTTTAAAATCATAGGTCTAACTTATTTGGGACTTTGATTGTCCTGCTTGACCTTCTCAGTGGCTTTTGATTTGGTGACTCAAGATTCTGACCATCTGGATTCTCTATCTCAGGAGGTCTAGGATTTAAATCATTAACTCCAGAATTTACATTTTCTGACTCCAGACAACTTGGTTCACTCATATCAACAGAACTTGGTTGTGGAACAAACTGAGTTGGTGTGAACTGTTCAGATTTGGTGGGATTGATAGATTCACACTTATTATCTGCACAAGTTATTTTTAACTTTATAAGACACAGGTCCTGTACATTGAACAATTTGACCTGGTATCCATTTTTCCTTTCTCCCATAATTTCTTAGATACACATACTCATTAACACCAAATTCTCTTTCAATGCATGTGTTGTCATGATTTAATGGAACTATTTTTGAATTGGCATCTGAAAGTATTATGCTATTATTCAGATCCTTGACTGACATAGATTTCTTTGATTGATCAATTTCCTCAGGTAATCTGATAGTGCTTTTTTGGTAACCAAAAATACTGTTTAAAAGTAATATCCTGGACCATATCAATTTGCAACTGTGATCCAGTATTTGAAGTGGGTGTATTAATGGCAAAAATCTTTTTTTCTTTTCTTTTGATGTTACCCTTTTAGTTTCTGTAAGTGCTAATGATGTTAGCAAAGTTGTTTGATGATCACATTCCTTCTTACTAATGTATTTTCTTTAAAACATTTGAAATTGCCATATCACCATAATCATTTATTAAGTTACAAATACTTTGTTTAGGTAACTGACTGATAATGGACTGTATCTTCTCCATCTTTTATATTATCTTCACAAAGGTTTTTATTTCTTATTTAATATGGCCTTAAGTCATCATTCACAGACTCTTCAGGCCAACCATTCTTACAGTACTCATATACTTTTATTAAGCACTCATCTTTTTGTGTTTCTCTTTTAATATCATTCACATTTATATTGGAGTTATCCATGATAGTGAAGAGAACAAATACATCTTCTGGTATATAGCTCAGGCTTTGGTTTTTTTAAAGGTAATCTACTAAGACTATCTGCACTATTCTCAGATCCAGGTTTGTATCTCAATTCATAATTGTATGCAGTTAGTGTGATAGCCCATCTTTGAATCCTTGGTGAGGCATGCTCAGGTAGGGTTTTGTTTTCTCCAAATAAACCTAGCAATGGTTTATGATCTGTAAAGATGGTGAACTTCCTACCAAACAGAAACTTATGAAATTTCTTAACACCAAAAATGATGCCTAAGCCTTCCCTATCTAACTGAGAATAATTTTTCTCAGCCTGGTTCAAAGATCTACTGGCAAAAGCAATGGGTCTGTCACCCTTCTCATCCATGTGGGACAAGACTGCTCCTACACCATCTGGTGAAGCATCACATGTCAATACAAGTCTTTTCCCTGGGTCATAGTGAGTTAGTAAGGTGTCAGCAGACAAAGCCTCTTTTGCTGTATTAAAAGCAGCTTCTTGTTGTTTACCCCAGTGCCAAGTTGCATTTTTCTGTAGCAGCTTGTACAGTGGTGATAGTTTACCAGACAGATTCCCTATGAACTTTGCATAGTAATTTATCAAGCCCAAAAAAGCTCTTAGTTGTTGGGTATTTTCAGGTTTTGGTGCTTCTTTAATGGCTTTTGTTTTCTCAGGTTGAGGTCTGATGCCTTGTTTGCTCAATATATAACCAAGAAAACTAATTTCTGTCAACATGAATTGACATTTATCTTTGTTTATCTTTAAACCTTTTTCACCAACAATTTTTAATACTTTATCAAGTGTTTTAAGATGTTCAGTGTCATTCTTACCAGTTATGTACACATTGTCAAAGTACACACAAACATTTGGAATGTCCTTAAAAATACTGTCCATGACAGCTTGGAAAATTCCAGGGCTAGATGATATGCCAAAACATAGTCTTTCATATTGGTAGAGTCCTTTATGTGTGTTTATTGTCGTATAGACTTTTGAATCTGGATGCAGTTCTAGTTGAGTGTAAGCATGACTAAAGTCTAATTCAGTGAATTTGTCTCCTCCTGCCAAATTCAAAGAAATTTCCTCAATGTTAGGTATAGGGTACCTATTTAGCTCTATTTGCTTATTCAGTGTAGTTTTGTAGTCTCCACAAATTCTTATAGAACCATCCTTCTTTAACACTGGCACAATGGACGACGCCCAATCGGAATAGTCTACCTTCTTTATAATGCCATTAGATTCCAATCTACTTAGCTCATTTTCAATTTTATTCCTCATTGCATAAGGTGGAACTCTAGCTTTGCAGTATCTTGGATTTGTATCTTTAATGCTTAACTTCACTGTTCTATCATT